CAGTACAGACCGTTGAAAGCCAGGTGTTCAGTGCAAACAATCTGCTGAATCTCTCCACTCCTCTTCTGACTGGCGGCAGAGGGCCACTGATGAACACCTCTGCATTTAGAGAGCTGACAGTTTCCAACAAACATTTAAAGTCTTCTTTCAGCACTTCTGACTGTTGTTTCACAACATCATTTGTTCCAATGTGCAGTACCACATTCTTCACAGTCGGATGTTCAGCCCCAATATGCAGGATCTTCTCAGCCAAGTCAGAGACCACATCCTTGGGAAAACAGAGTACTTTGGTGTTGTTCTTATTACACAGACCTTTTACATCTCTTACAGCAGAGTCACCCACAATCAGAGTTTCAGGCCCAGTCGTTAGCTTTCCCTCTAGCCTTTTACTTTTAGAGTAGCTATTGGTCTTTACCCTGCTGCGTGAAGAGGACAGGTTATCCAGGTCATCAGATCTCCGGTTCTCGGTCAGCGGAGCGTATCTGTTCTGGATTGGCACACTTGGTGGTTTAGGAGGATTGTTTGTAATTCTCCCTTTAGCAGCTGTCCACTGCTGTTTCCTAGTATGAATAGGGGTTGAAGAGGCGCTCTTCCTGGGTGATAACAATGCAGGCCAGCCGGTCGCATCACAGATTTCGGAGCTCTGGGCTCTGCCTGTTATCCGTCCTCCCAAATCCCATGGAAATGATTTACTCTTCGGCTTTGCACCCAGAGAGTTCCAGGGAGGACTACCACTTGTAGATTTATTACCCGGTAAACAGCCCTCCTGTTCCTTGGAATCCTTGTAGCTGCTAACTAGCTGTGAGTTAGCATACCCTTCTCCATTATTTTTGCAACACTGGTAAAGTCGTGTCATTCCCACGACATAGTCCATTCACTTCCACGTTAACTTCCAACCGTTGCATTTTCATTTCCAACACAGCCATCTTCTGTATACGTTTCTGGAAGTCATCTGTAGAGAATGGAGGCATTTTGCTACCAACTAGCTAAATAGCAGTAGCCTACCAGGCTTTAGCTGTTGCTAGGCCACGCTATTGTAAGACTGACGTCGTCGTAAAAATGTTGAAATATGGCTGAAACCCTCCGTCTATTTACGAAGATGAACTGTCCCAGTGATAAGTTAATGTCCAGGAGCCGCTGCTCGAAGTTTTCAGAGAATAAGAATAGGAAAATCAGCATAAAAAGTAAGCAGAGGCAAGAGCAAGCAGAAAAGCGTCTGCACTGTAAGAAAGATAAGCAAGCACACACACACATCACTTCAGGGGACATTACATTGACTTACAAGCATTTCCTGGAGACTTATCCTAACCTTAACCATAACCAACACATGCCTAACCCTAACCCTAACCCTAATCCTAAACCTTAAATCTTTGTTTGTAGATATCTACTAAACTAAAGCAAATAGAGTAATGCAGGCCTGTTATACTGAGTGATATATATTATACACACTGCTCTGCTTTCTGCACGGACTAGTACACAAATGAGTTTCCTCCCATCTACCTGCTGCACGATACATGCCACCTTCATCCTGGACCCTGATGAAGGTGTATCAGCATGTTGTCATCAGCCAGTACAGCGGCCTCTGCGGCAGTCTTCACCTTGCGCTCGCTGATTTTTTTATTGTTCCAAAATAATCATATCGCATAATGCAGCATAAGAACTCACATTTAGGGCATTGCACCATCTGCTAAAAAAAAGTACCAGATCTCTGGCAAACTCCACAGGGGTCTGTCTGCTAGACTTCTCCCAGGACCTGAACCTCTGGCGATATGCCTCAGGGACTAACTCATAAGCCTTAAACACAGCAGTTTTAACAGTCAAATACACCTTGCTCTCTGCCACCGTTAGAGCAGACTTTACCTGTTAGCACACACTGCAACAATAAGGTACTATCAACATCCGACCACTCTCTGCTCTCAGCCACACGCTCAAATAGGGAGAAAAAGGAATCTGGATCTCGCTCACTAAACTGAGGAACAACCCGCAGATTACTGGCAACGTAATGCTGCTACAACCCGTTGCTGCAGATACACGCTTTACAACATCAGAAAGATACGTCCCCAGCTGACCCAGAAAGCGACGCAGGTTCTGGTCCAGGCTCTCGTCATCTCACGCCTAAACTACTGCAACTCCCTCCTGGCTGGTCTACCTGCATGTGCCATCCGACCTCTGCAGCTCACCCAGAATGCAGCGGCTCGTCTGGTCTTCAACCTTCCTAAATTTTCCCACACCACTCCGGTCCTCCGCTCCCTTCACTGGCTTCCGGTAACTGCTAGAATCCACTTCAAGACACTGGTACTTGCTTACCATGCTGCGAATGGATCTGGCCCTTCGTACATCCAGGACATGGTTAAACCATACACCCCAGCGCGTGCACTCCGCTCTGCATCAGCCAAACGGCTCGCTGCACCCTCGCTGCGAGAGGGACCCAAGTTCCCATCAGCAAAAACACGTGGGTTTGCTATCCTGGCTCCAAGATGGTGGAATGAGCTCCCCATTGACATCAGGACAGCAGATAGCTTGCACATCTTCCGGCGCAAACTGAAAACTCATCTCTTTCGACTCCACTTCGAGCGATATAATTATTAACAAAGCACTTATATACTAATAAAGGACTGGCTTATCTAAAGCCAGTTGAGTAGCACTTGAAATGTTTGGCTCTATGAAACCTGATGTACTTATATGATTCTGTTTTCTTCAAGGTTGTGTCTTCCTGGTCGAATGTACTTATTGTAAGTCGCTTTGGATAAAAGCGTCAGCTAAATGCAATGTAATGTAATTTAATGTAACGTCAAACGGAGTATTACCTCTACCAGAGAAATCAAAGGCACGGCTGGCCCCTCCAGCAGTTACATTCAACCTCCGTACCTCTAACTCAAGCCTTTTAATTTCTACCTCTCCCCTCATTTTTTCCACTGCCAGTTTCTCCATATCTGTCTGCAACAGTTCCTTTCTCTGTTCAAACGTCAGGCCTGCATCACGGCAGCCAGACATATCGACACCGTCTCTGCTAGGATCAACATTATACTTTCCCCCTTTGAAAGCACCTAACTCAAACAGATTTGCTTTAACAAGCCCTCTTATGTTTTCCTTCATTATTTTATCCCCAACATCCAAGTGGAAATGTTCGGCAACACAGATCAGCTGCTCACGTGAGAAACCCTCCAGCAGCTCCTCTGAAGGCGCTCTCAAAAAATCCTCTACACTCCCCATCATGATAACACTGCGTGGCACGCTCACGCTACTCACACAGCCTACACGTCACCACGGCCCGTCCCTCTAACTGCCTCACTGTAACTAGCTAAACTCCCCCCTAGTCTTCAGGTGCTAATTACGGCGGGTATTTACGCACTTAATATCGTAAGCTCGGCGAAGCGACCAGAAAACCGGCAACTCCACCTACAGCCTCGGTGTGCTCCCGAGCTAATAGCTCCAACCACGTTCACACCACAATAACGGAGCGTCCACACTACAGCTTCAAAAAAAGCTTGGAGCTGTGCGTGTCTGAAGCTTGTGGATGTTATTCAAGCAACGCGACCAACAACCAATCACATGAATCTCCCGCCCCCGACATACAAAGGAAAAATCCCCGGGGATTTTATGGGAGTTTATATATATATATATATATATATATATATATAAACTCCCCAAACAGGCGAAAACCTACCAGTTTCACCCACTGTCTCTGCCACCTCCTTCCATACCTGGTTCCTCCGGTTTGTATCCGGGTAGGTGAAGAGGGTCTGGTCATACAAAACCGGGTGATTTGCTACGGCGATAATTAGTTTCTCCTCCATCTTTTTTTGAAATATAGAAATGAACGGCGGGATATCTCTCCCAGCTTAAACGCGGTTTGATTGGCTACGGCTTGAGCTGTCAGATTTTCCGAAACGGGATTTGATTGGCTAGTGCTGGCTACTCCGGCGTCTCCGGCGGAGACGGACCGCAATGCTACCCACAATTCAGTTCGGCGACGTCACGTCACCCCATTCAAAGTGAATGGGCAGATTGAAGCTGTCGACGCTGCAGACGCTGTAGTGTGGACGGGCCGTAACTGCCCCCCATACGACCTCCAATGGAGACCGTCCTGAAGCCTAACAGGGACAAGACCAACGGTACGTGACTGCGAGAAAGAGACCACGGAACGCCCCGACACCAGCCCATGTTCCGTCCAGGATCCCGTCTACGCCTGTCCCGCCGGCTCCGTTTCGTGTCCGTCCGACACCGGGTCCTGCCCGTCCTCCGGAGCTGTCCCATCACTGCCTTCGTGCCCGTCTTCTGGAGCTGTCCCATCACCGCCTTCGTGCCCGTCCTCCGGAGCTGTCCCGTCACCGCCTTCGTGCCCATCCTCCGGAGCTGTTCCGTCACCGCCTTCGTGCCCGTCCTCCGGAGCTGTCCCGTCACCGCCTTCGTGCCCGTCCTCCGGAGCTATCCCGTCACCGCCTTCGTGCCCGTACTCCGGAGCTGTCCCGTCACCGCCTTCGTGCCCGTCCTCCGGAGCTGTCCCGTCGCCGCCTTCCTGCCCTTCATCCGGAGCTGTCCTGTCGCCGCCTTCCTGCCCGGCCTCCTGAGTTCCCCAGCGATTTTCGCCCTCGTGCCCGGCCCCCTGAGTTCGCCCCTCCTTGAACTTTGCCTTGCCCCCGGGCCGTCCGCCCGAGACCACCTCCTCAAACTCTGCCGTGCCCCTGTGCTGTCAACCCAAACCCCTCCTCCGAACCCCCTCCACCCACCCTTTTGGCCCTAGTTATCCCTAGTTTCCTTCCTCGTACTCCCCCGGTTTTGATAATGTTAAGTTGTTCCTTGTTTTCTGTTTTTTATCAGCTTTGGGAAATAAAGCTTGCTTTTTGTTCCCTAACCTTTTAGTCCTCTTACTGCATTTGGGTCCTATTTTTCCCCACCCCTGACACTACAAGAGAAGAAGAGTCTTGAGTGTGACGTTGGTGACGCTCTGCCCATTGGTGATAATCAGCTCCACTAATGTAAAGTGTTCATCTCCACAGAAGGAAGAGGAAGAGTGGTGTTCCTGTGGAGGAGCAGCTGTCCAGCTGTGCTCTGTGTCACAACGTCCTGACGGATCCAGTCTCTTCCAGCTGTGGACACTGGTTCTGCAGACAGTGCATCACCGAATACTGGGAGCAGAGACCTCCATCAGGAGACCCCTCCTGTCCCCAGTGTGGGAAGAGATCCAGAACCACAGCTGGACTGCAGACAGCCAGTCAGACCAGAACTGTACGAGGTAAGAGGCCGAACACACGCAGTGTTTTATTCCTCTTCCTGGTTCCTTTGTTTCTGAATAGGTATACTGTTGTAGAGCAGAGACAGTAAGCTGTTTATACAACATTTAAACTCAGTCTGTTTGTTGTTTTATTGTTATAATTAGATTCTCAGAGCATTTTCCTCATTCTCTCATGTTCCCTTCTCTTCCAGCAGATAGTGGTCTGCAGGAGGTTTTAGATGAACATAGGCTCAGTCTGAGGAGGAGATGTGAACGTGTGACTGAAGGAATTGATCAAAGTGAAACCCTCCTCAACAGCATCTTCACTGAGCTCTACATCACACAAGGCCAGAGTGAAGAGGTTAATACCCAACATGAGGTGAGGCAGCTGGAGGCAGCTTCCAAGAAGAAGCCCCTCCATGACACTCCAATCAAGTGCCAGGACATCTTTAAAGCCTTACCTGACCAACAGACTCCCATCAGAGCGGTCCTGACCAACGGAGTCGCTGGAGTTGGAAAAACCTTCTCAGTGCTGAAGTTCACTCTGGACTGGGCCGAGGGTTTGGGAAACCAAGATGTCAGTCTGGTGATCCCGCTCTCCTTCAGGGAGCTGAACCTGATCAAAGGTGAGCAGTACAGTCTTCTCAGGCTGCTCCATGTTTTCCATCCAACCTTACAGAAGGTCAAAGCAGAGCAGCTGGCTGTCTGCAAAGTGCTGCTCATCTTTGACGGCCTGGATGAAAGCAGACTTTCTCTGGACTTCAGAAACAATGAGGTTGTGTCTGATGTCTCACAGCAGTCCTCAGTCAACGTGCTGCTGACAAACCTCATCAGGGGGAAGCTGCTTCCCTCAGCTCTCGTCTGGATAACTTCCAGACCTGCAGCGGCCAATAAGATCCCTCCTGAGTGTGTGGACAGGGTAACAGAAGTACGAGGCTTCACTGACGCCCAGAAGGAGGAGTACTTCAGGAGGAGATCGAGTGATGAAGACCTGTCCAGCAGAATCATCTCTCACATCAAGAGCTCCAGGAGCCTCCACATCATGTGTCTGATCCCAGTCTTCTGCTGGATCACTGCTGCAGTTCTGGACCACATGTTGACTACAGACCAGAGAGGAGAGCTGCCCCAGACCCTCACTGACATGTACTCACACTTCCTGCTGGTCCAGACCAAGAGGAAGAAGCAGAAGTATGAAGAGGGACATGAGACGAGTCCACAGCAGCTGACGGAGGCTGACAGGGAGCTTCTTCTGAAGCTGGGGAGGCTGGCATTTGAACATCTGGAGAAAGGAGACATCATGTTCTACCAAGAAGACCTGCAGCGCTGTGGCCTTGGTGTCACCGAGGCCTTGGTGCACTCAGGAGTTTGTACACAGATCTTCAAAAGAGAGAGTGTGATCTTCCAGAAAACAGTCTACTGCTTTGTTCATCTGAGCATTCAGGAGTTTCTGGCTGCAGTCTACTTGTTGCACTGTTACACCAACAGAGACACAGAGGTACTGAAGGACTTCCTGCAGGGAGACTTTAACAGCAGCAGTGATCAGGATTACCCATCCCTGGATGTCTTCCTGAAGGGAGCCATGGAGATATCCCTCCAAAGTAGAAATGGCCACCTGGACCTGTTTGTCCGCTTTCTCCACGGTCTCTCTCTGGAGTCCAACCAGAGTCTGTTAGGAGGCCTGCTGGGTCGCACCGACAACAGACCAGAAACCATCCAGAGAGCCATCAGCAACCTGAAGGAGATGAGCAGTAGATATATCTCTCCTGACAGGAGCATTAACGTCTTCCACTGTCTGACAGAGATGAAGGACCTCTCAGTACATCAGGAGATCACAGAGTTCCTGAAGTCAGAGAACAGATCAGAGAAGAGACTCTCTGATATCCACTGCTCTGCTCTGGCCTACATGCTGCAGATGTCAGAGGAGGTTCTGGATGAGTTGGACCTGAATCAGTACAACACATCACAGGAGGGACGATGGAGACTGATTCCAGCTGTGAGGAACTGCAGGAAGTTCAAGTAAGTCCAGATGTGATTAACTTTATAAACTAATGTGGATCAGGAGTTTAATTATTCAAATACACATGATAACATTTCTGCTGTTTAAATACTGAGAGAGCAAAAATAAAACCAACACTGTTCTTCTATTTATTTATAATGATAGTTAAACTGAAGCGTTCCTCTCTTCATATTGAGTGAAGGAGGCGACATGTCAAACACATGAAGGACTTGAGAGGTTTCTCAGCATGTGATCACACCACACAGCAGGACTTACAGTTATCACAGAAACATGTTATTACTTTCTAGTAGTTTCTTTATTATTAAACAGACACACGTTTTGATCACAATGTGTTAGAGTTTAAAATCAGATCTATATCATTTCCACCAACAACAGAGTTATGTCTTAATGCTGATATACTGGGAACATCTGATGGTATCAAGTTGAACACATTGAAACTTTATTGGTTTGTTAATTGTGTTTGTGTGCGCAATAAATGTCCAGATGCTCAGAGAAGCCAAAACATCCTTCATCCATCATTCACATCCAAATATTAACTAACATTTAAATATGTTCATCTCTAATATCGTCAAGTGGTTCATTTAATTTCTGTTTCTTTTGGTAACAGTCAGTGACAGCAGGAGCACAGACATGTGATCAGATCACACTGACAACTCATTACACTCTATTATAATATATTATATTCAATGCACTAACTGCAAAGGTCTATCAGAACATGCCAAATATTTTTTCATCAAATTCTTAATGTTAATATAATGTTTCCTCTTTTTTTAACACATGTTGTAATATATGTTTTATTATAGACTTATTGGCTGTGGACTCTCAGAGAGTATCTGTGAAGTCGTGGCCTCAGCTCTGAAGTCTGACCCCTCCCATCTGAGAGATCTGGACCTGAGTAAGAACTATCTGAAGGATTCACATGTGGAGCTGCTGATTTCTGGACTAAAGAGTCCAAACTGCAGACTGGAGGCTCTCAGGTCAGTTCACTGACTGCAGTTCATATTGATCTGTTTGTGTTTATGATTTTCTGAATTTGAACAAATACAATGTTATTGTTATTTGTTCCGTTTTTGCTAATAACTGAATATTGATCAGAGTAACAGAGAGAAGGTGAATGTGTGAGGGAGAGAGTTTGAGCTTCCACAGACTCACCCTGTGCTCCAGGAGTCAGTGGAGATGCTGTCAGTACTGAGGAGCTGTGAGGGAGAGGAAGGAGTTGTTCAACATCTGATCAAAGTTAAAGTTCCAGATTATCAGTGGATTGTTTCTGCATCATCTCTGACATTAAAACCCTGTTTGACTCTGAACAGATTATTAAACATGGAGTTATTTCAAACAGGAACATTGTTTTCTAAAGTGACATCATGTTTTCTTTATTCAGACTGAGGGGCTGCAGTTTGTCAGAGATCAGCTGTTCTGCTCTGATCTCAGCTCTGAAGTCCAACCCCTCCCATCTGAGAGATCTGGACCTGAGGTACAGCGCTCTGCAGGATTCAGGAGTGGAGCTGCTGAGAGATCTTCTGGAGAGTCCAGACTGCAGACTGGAGACTCTCAGGTCAGTTCACTGACTCTCTGTTACTGCTGGAGATCTCACATGTTCACTTTGTAATTGAACCTCATTTATATTACATTACATTACATGGCATTTAGCTGACGCTTTTATCCAAAGCGACTTACAATAAGTGCGTTCGACCAACAAAATACAAACTTGAAGAAAACAAAATCATATAAGTACATCAGGCTTCATAGAGCAAAAACATTTCAAGTGCTACTCAACTGGCTTTAGATAAGCCAGCCCTTTATTAGTATATAAGTGCTTTGTTAATAGTTCTATCGCTCGAAGTGGAGTCGAAAGAGATGAGTTTTCAGTCTGCGCCGGAAGATGTGCAAGCTATCTGCTGTCCTGATGTCAATGGGGAGCTCATTCCACCATCCTGGAGCCAGGACAGCAAACCCACGTGTTTTTGCTGATGGGAACTTGGGTCCCCTTCGCAGCGAGGGTGCAGCGAGCCGTTTGGTTGATGCAGAGCAGAGTGCACGTGCTGGGGTGTACGGTTTAACCATGTCCTGGATGTAGGAAGGGCCAGATCCATTCGCAGCATGGTACGCAAGTACCATTGTCTTGAAGTGGATTCTAGCAGTTATCGGAAGCCAGTGAAGGGAGCGGAGGAGCGGCGTGGTGTGGGAGAATTTAGGAAGGTTGAAGACCAGGCGAGCCGCTGCATTCTGGATGAGCTGCAGAGGTCGGATGGCACATGCAGGTAGACCAGCCAGGAGGGAGTTGCAGTAGTCTAGGCGTGAGATGACGAGAGCCTGGACCAGAACCTGAGTCGCTTTCTGTGTCAGCTGGGGACGCATCCTCCTGATGTTGTAAAGCGTGTATCTGCAGCAGCGGGTTGTAGCAGCGATGTTTGCAGTGAAGGACAGGTTGTTATCTAGGGTCACACCCAGATTCCTTGCAGTCTGAGTCGGGGAAACAACAGAGGTGCCAATGTTGATTGTTAGGTCAAGAGTTGGACAATCTTTTCCCGGAAGGAAGAGCAGCTCAGTCTTGTCAAGGTTGAGCTTGAGGTGATGATCAGACATCCACTGAGAGATGTCAGCTAGACAAGCAGAGATGCGTGTGACGACCTGGGTCTCTGAACGGGGAAAGGACAGAATTAATTGGGTGTCGTCAGCGTAGCAGTGGTATGAAAAACCATGCGGGCTAATGACTGATCCGAGCGAGTTTGTGTACAAGGAGAAGAGGAGGGGACCAAGAACAGAGCCCTGAGGGACCCCTTTAGTTAATTGACAAGGGTCGGACTCGGACCCTCTCCAAGTAACCCTGTAGGTGCGGTCTTTGAGGTATGAGGTGAGGAGGGAAAGTGCAGAGCCTGAAACTCCAAGTTCTTGGAGAGTGTGAAGGACGATCTGATGATTCACCGTGTCGAATGCAGCAGACAGGTCCAAAAGGATGATGACAGAGGAGAGGGAGGCTGCTTTAGCAGTGTGCAGTTCCTCATTAATAACTTTCATCTATAAAGTTGTACATGTCCTTATATTTGTAAGAGAATATTTTCATCTGATCTGTTTATAGAGTTTCTTATTGTTTTATAGAATCTGTGATACTGCAAACATCTGCTTGTAGTCAGTCAAAGACCCCTGTGTAGGTTGAGGCTTGTCTGGATCTCTTTGAGACAAGTAGACCATTGTCTCACATCTGCTACTAATTAGGTATACGCGGGCTTGCTGGGAGCCCGCCTCTCCTCGTGTTGGTGAGATGTTTTGTGTCTTTTGGGGCAGAGATTACCTTGGTGGAGCACAAGGACAGTGTGAAACTAGGATGATCCCCGGCCGTATGTAATTGTCTGTCTCTCAATAAATATCAGTGTATTGACGGGTGAATCCAGTTTCCCTCATTTCATGATGCGCTCAACATTGCTGCAAAGAAGTTTTTACTTCACAATATTCATATTTCATTTTTAACGTACTGAAGGAAGAATTGCAGACATACATGTTGAGTGTTTCTTAAAGGAACTGTAAAGGACAGACCTGGCGGCAGACATACATTTGATTTACCCCCCCCCAGGCTACTTTCCATCCGCAGTCCCTCACATCAAACATTAAGAACATGACCTTTACAAACATAGCAGATACAAATACATGAAATAGAAGAAAAGAGCAAGAGCAGAATACACAAGTATTTATGACATGGCAAAACAACATAGCAGCACGGATACATAGCGTGCAGGAGAGGATACCCCTGTGTTAAAGTGCATCTAGTGGTGACCGCACGTTTGCACGTCCTGCTTTAAAGCAGATGTGTCTCTGGAGTAAAGAAGTGGAATTCTTTGCCGAATGATTTAAACGGCTATAAGAACATTTTCATGTTTAAGAAAATGTATAAAGAAAGCGTAATTAGACAGTATGAAGGTGACTTGTGATTGTGTTCTGGTTTCATGTTTCAGTATTTGTGAGAAACTGTGACTGAAAGAATGTTGCTTTGATTTTACTTTTTTATGGTTATTTCATTTTTTAAATTTTTGTAATTATTTTTATTTATTTGAGAAACATCTGATTGGATTATAAACAGATGTTTATCCTCATCATGTTTTCTTTATTCAGACTGAGGAGCTGCAGTTTGTCAGAGATCAGCTGTTCTGCTCTGATCTCAGCTCTGAAGTCCAACCTCCATCTGAGAGATTTGGACCTGAGTCGGAACAACGCTCTGCTGGATTCAGGAGTGGAGCTGCTGAGAGATCTTCTGGAGAGTCCAGACTGCAGACTGGAGACCCTCAGGTCAGTAAGGGGTCTCTGCTGGTTCAGCAGTATTGTATGAAACACAGGGAGGTGTTTCTCTCACTGGGGAATCAGATCAGTGATGTTACCCACTGACTGCAGGCTCTCTCATTCTTCCATCAACTAGAGAAGGCCAGCTGGAAATGCAAAGCCACATTTAGTAAGTAATCAACTTTCCACCAGACATATGGGGTTTGACAGAAGAGTGGAAAAGGTAGTCTGTGTTTGATGGGATGTTTTTAGTTCCTTGACTAATGGCTGTTACTTCCTGTCATGCAGCTGAGAGCTGTGGCAGTCAGTCGTAGTGTTTGCAGAGAATGTATGATGGGACGTAAAGCATGAGATCAGTCAGGACTCTGAAGCTGACTCAAAGAACAAACACTTATTTTAAACTGGATCATAACTGTTGGATTGTGTTCATCCCTACAGGATCAGAAGAGATGAGACGATCAGAGCCAAGATCCAGAAGACCTGTGAGTACTGAATATCCTCCATTCATCCAGATATGAGACTCTTTGATGGAGCATGTCCTCAGAGGAAAACAACACTCTGGTTTCTCTCTCTTCATCATTTTGGCTGTTTCTCTTCACAAGAACTGTCTATCAAAACAGTGACGCGTTCACTGACACTCTGTAAAATGTAAATAAACTCTGAAGAATAAAACACATGAAAACATCGACATTATAACCAGTCTGTTACAGTATTACCATCAACATATACTTCAGTACAAGCAGAAGTACTCAGATCTTGTAGTAAAAGTAGAATTACTCAGATCTTGTACTTGAGTAAATGTAGAAGTACTCAGATCTTGTACTTTAGTAAAAGTAGAAGTACCAGAGTGTAGGAATACTCTGTTACAGTAAAAGTCCTGCATTCAAAATGTTCCTCAAGTGAAAGTAGAAAAGTATTATCATCAAAATATAGTGAAAGTAGCGACAATGAAAGTAGTCGTTGTGCAGATTGGTCCATTTTAGAATAATATATATGATATGTTTTATAATGATTGATCATGAAAGTGTTCTCAAAGCTGGTAAAGGTGCAGCTAGTTTGAATGACTTTGTATACTGCAGGGTAGCTGGTGAATTTACTCCAGGTGGAACTAAAGTCTGATTTAACACTTGATTGGATTTCACATCATTCATCCACATCTGTGAAGTAACTAAAGGGATTAAATACATGTAGTGGAGTAAAAGTGCAAAACAGCATACAATGGAAATACTCAGGTAAAGTACAAGTACCTCAACATTGTACTTAATTACAGTACTTGAGTAGATGTACTTAGTTCCTCTCCTGGTCTGTAAAGCTCTCCCAACATATGCAGGTTAGCATCCGGCAGCTTCTATGTGCTGGGGACCCGTACTGTACATGTCTATCATCACACTTTGGGCTCCTCAACATGTGTGGGTTCCCAGCAGGACTCTCTGAGCTGCAGACACATTCTTTCTGTGACTTTGTTCCAGATATTTGGAGCATAATAACTGAAGCTGTTTCTCCATGTTCAGGAACGCCCACCCCCCGAGTCCTGCGGCAGGAAGCGCTCCTTCTCTCCAAGAACTCCTGGACCCTGCAAGCTGGTCCAGAACCAGAGTCCCAGTGAGGAGTCCAGCCAGTCGACCTCTCAGAGTTCAACTAAACTACAACATTATTAAAGATCATGTTTAAAGTTAAAAAAGGATGCTTTCAGACTGAATCCAGAAGCTTCTCAAGCTGCAGTCAAAGCAGATCATTTGAGGAATATATAAAACAATTATGAAACTGTAATAAGAATTACTCTGAATACTTTCTTTGACATTTTATTTACATTTCTTTTAAACAAATATTTCAAAAATGTCTGACTTCTCTCATGAATTAACGACTTGATTTCATTTTTTTTCATTTCCATCTTTATTTCGAACAGATTAAAAAAGCTAATAAAAAAAAACAAATGTGAAAAACAGAATACAGCATTTATCAATATTCATAATAATATTTATATATTCAACGAAAATACTCACAATCATTTTTATATTTTCAACACAAATATTCATAATAATAATAATAATAATAAATCATTTGTGTCCGAAAGGGAGCAGGAGGAAGAAAATGCTTATTAATTCCCACGCCTTACTTGATCAATGATTATCCTTTAAATCATTTCAGCAAGTTATTCCTACTTACATATTTACATTTATACATACATTTACAATCATTTCTCATCTTCAATCACCTTAAATCATTCTCATAGTTTTCCAAGAAAGTGTTTCTGTACATCCTTTAAACTGAATTATGATTGTGCTTTGTTTGAACTCCTGCTCCAAACCGTTCCATGAAATCACCCCACAGATTGTTATGCACATTGTTATGGAAAGGGCCGGCCCTAGACTTTTGGGGGCCCTAAGCGAGCTTTGGCTTGGGGGCCCCCCCAACTCTAGCGCGTTCTCACTACACACAACACGGAAGGTCAGAACAACTCTACTCATACTTCTCACAGTTGTTCTGACCTTGAGTTGTTTCAAATGTATTTCCTCTCAAATTATCCCCACCCTCTCTGTCTATGAACAGTGTTTGTAATTTCCTAGGAAGTACATTATTTCTTGCTCTGCACATGATTTGTTTTAAATGTAACCAGATCAGTAAACTTCAGTGTGTGTGACTTCAAGAATAATGAATGAGTGTGTTCAAGATGTCCAACATTATTGATTATTCTTATAGCCCTTATTTGTAATGTGCATAACGGCTGCAGGTTGATAAGTGTTTCCCCAAATCTCCACACAGTAACTCAGATATGGCAATATGAGTGTGTTATACAGAGCATATAATATAGGATAAGATAAAATGGACCTTTATTAATCCCGTGGGGAAATTCAGTTGTACAAGCAGCAACAGGGTAAGCGTGAAAAACAGGACAGCACAGATTCACACGGATTAATACAATCACAAATAAAATCAAGAAAAAAATTAAAATAATAATGATAATAATAATAAAAGACTATGAAATAGGAGATGAGTAAAAATAAGAGTAAAATAACTATCAGCATATATACATATTTGGTCATAAATTATGAAGTACAAAATGAGTTAAGTGAAAATGGACATCTGTACATATAATGACATAGCTATCTACATATTTGGTCTACTACTAATATATATGATTATACTAATAATGAGTTGTTGTCCAGAATGTGTCTGGCTTTCCCCAATATTGCGATAGTCTTAGCCAGTTTTGCTTTTACATGATTGATATGAGGTTTCCTGCTGATTTTGTGGTCTCAAACCACACCAATAATCTTATTTACATATACTCTTTCTATGTTTATCTTGTCTAGTATTAATTGCACCTAAGGATTTGTTTTATGTTTTCTAAATAGCATAATCTTTGTTTTGCTTATATTGAATGATAATTTGTTCTTAAATCGTGTTTTCTTTTCTTGTGTATTTCATAAACAGGATATTTGATTTTTTTTTTCATGTAGCTTTAAGACTAAATATTATTTTCTCAGCTCTGTAATAAATAAACACATTTGAAAAATGAATATCCCATTCGTTGTACTTATGTCCTGATTGATGAGTCAGCAGTAAAGCGGCCAGGCGGTAACGGTCAGCTGGCATGTGTATGTGTTCATTGGCTCATATGTGTAGCATGTTTAATGGCAGTGTTTTGAAAATGGCTGCCAGGTGGATATGTCAGATCTCTGTGTGTTACTCAGAGAACCGTGTGCAGAGTTTTATAAAGTGCAGAGTTGAATTGCAGATTGTGTGTAGAGCTGAAAATGTGTTTAGAGTTCTGTTTGATTTAATCCAGCCAGTTTTGCCACAGCAAAGCATAAGGGCTCAGAGCTCGGACCTATTGTGTTCAAAAGTCCATAATAAGCATTTAGCCGAATAAAATATGTTCCATTCGAGACCCATTTTTATAAAATCCATCCCTGTATAATAGACTTGCTTTATATCTTGTTATTGTTCATTTGTAAATTCAACATGTATTTTTTCTACTTTCTTGTATTTTAATTTGTATTGTACAAATACATAATAATATGCTGCTGCAACACAAACATGTCCCAAATTGGGATCAATAAAGTACTTCAGGGCCCTGTCTTTAGAAATGAACCTGCGACTCTTCTCCACCAAAGGGAGACATTTCCCCATATTACCTTATGGGGGAAAATACATGCTAGTTTTGCACAAAAATAATTAAATGCCAAATAAAATGAAGAAAAGTGAGAAAATAGAGAACATTTTTATAATTTGAGTTATTTTATTTAGTTGAAGTTTGTGGAAGTTAAAAATCCTAACAGACGTTTGTTAAACATTTTATTCAGTGGATATTATATATTTATTTATAATGTCATGGCAGTATTTGATGCAGATAATACACAGGAGAATAATAAAAGTAAATAAAAAATGTACCGTGATGTTGAAGTAAAAACAGTTGCAAGAATCATGAAAAACATCAGATGAAGCCATACAAATTACAATAATAGAAATAATGATAGAACACAATTATAATAATTACTACAAATACAAAAATAATACATTGGTGAATAAAAAAAGTAAATACATTTTTTTAAAAAATGTAATTATAGTAGAAATACAAGATTACATAGATAAATAAAAAATAATATATATATATAAAATGACCCACTGATATGTTCCTCTCTCTCCTCTCAGCCCGTCCACAGCCGTCACCCCACCTCCTCCTCAGCCTCCAGCCGCCTCGGCTCCGCCCAGGTTCCCACCACCCCCATCACTCCCGTCACCCCCACCAACACCTCCGTCACCTCCCCCCCCGCGTCCTCCCCCGCTACCGCCGCCGGGACCCCCAACGCCTCGCAGCCCATCCAGCTGAGGGACCTGCAGAGCATCCTGGCCACCATGAACGTCCCCTCGGGGGGGCAGGGAGGTGAGCGAGTACACCAGAAGTACTGAGAGGAAGTAACTAAGTACATTTTGATGCAGGGGGGTGAGAGAGTACACCAGAAGTACAGAGAGGAAGTAACTAAGTACATTTTGATGCAGGGGGGGGGGAGAGAGTACACCAGAAGTACCGAGAGGAAGTAACTAAGTACATTTTGATGCAGGGGGTGAGAGAGTACACCAGAAGTACTGACAGGAAGTAACTATGAACATTTTGATGCAGGGGGGGGAGAGAGTACACCAGAAGTACTGAGAGGAAGTAGCTAAGTACATTTTGATGCAGGGGGGGGTGAGAGAGTACACCAGAAGTACTGAGAGGAAGTAACTAAGTACATTTTGATGCAGGGGGGGAGAGAGTACACCAGAAGTACTGAGAGGAAGTAACCAGAGATGGCAAAAGTACACACATCCTTTACTCAAGTAGAAGTACAGATACTCGTGTTTAAAAATACTCTGGTAAAAGTAGAAGTACTGACTAAACTTCTTTACTCAAGTAAAAGTCAAGAGCCTTTGAAATGTACTTCAGTAAAAAGTACCCATAACGAGCAGCTGTTTTAAAGAGTACCTGACCTCCCGTTATATTAATTGAACAATAATGTCATTGTTAGCTAATGAATGTGAGTACTTGTACCTTTGCTAAAGCACAGATCTGAGTACTTGTACCTTTACTAAAGCACAGATGTGAGTACTTGTACCTTTACTAAAGCACAGATGTGAGTACTTGTACCTTTGCTAAAGCACAGATGTGAGTACTTGTACCTTTACTAAAGTACATATCTGAGTACTTGTACCTTTACTAAAGCACAGATCTGAGTACTTGTACCTTTGCTAAAGCACAGATGTGAGTACTTGTACCTTTGCTAAAGCACAGATCTGAGTACTTGTACCTTTGCTAAAGCACAGACGTGATTACTTGTACCTTTGCTAAAGCACAGATCTGAGTACTTGTACCTTTACTAAAGCACAGATTTGAGTACTTGTACCTTTGCTAAAGCACAGATGTGAGTACTTGTACCTTTGCTAAAGCACAGATCTGAGTACTTGTACCTTTGCTAAAGCACAGATGTGAGTACTTGTACCTTTGCTAAAGCACAGATCTGAGTACTTGTAACTTTGCTAAAGCACAGACGTGAGTACTTGTACCTTTGCTAAAGCACAGATCTGAGTACTTGTACCTTTACTAAAGCACAGATCTAAGTACTTGTACCTTTGCTAAAGCACAGATCTGAGTACTTGTACCTTTGCTAAAGCACATATCTGAGTACTTGTACCTTTGCTAAAGCACAGATCTGAGTACTTGTACCTTTACTAAAGCACAGATCTGAGTACTTGTACCTTTGCTAAAGCACAGATGTGGTTTCTGCAGTGGATCTGTCCAGCGTGCTCACCCCGGAGGTCATGGCTCCCATCCTGTCTCACCCCGAGGTGCAGCAGCGTCTCTCTCCCTTCCTCCCCTCCGGAGAGTCTCTCCCTCAGAGCAGCGAGGAGCTGAACAACACTCTCAGCTCGCCTCAGTTCCAGCAGGTATCAATATCATCCTCAATACACCTGATTGGTTCAGTGTGAACATGTTGCTTCCTCATGTTCATTTAACACCGCCATGTTTATGAGAGATACGGACGTTTGTATATAAAATACTTCTACCTTTTTACTGTGTGTGTGTGTGTCTCTGTGTGTGTGTGTGTGTGTGTGTGTGTGTAGGCGATGAATATGTTCAGCAGTGCGCTGGCCTCAGGTCAGTTAGGTCCTCTGATGAATCAGTTTGGTCTCCCTGCAGAAGCCGTGGACGCCGCCAACAAAGGAGGTGACTTGAATCGAGAACAGCTTCGCAGCATAGTTACTGCACTATATGTCAAAAACAGTATCGTTAGCATGTGTATGTAAATGTATGTACATAAAACAGATTAAAGTACAGGTCTATAAAACAGTAGTACAGTCTACAGGGCCGCCCCTTGCCAACTTGGGGCCCCAAGCGACATTGTGAGATGAGGCCCCCCCCCAATCGACAGGAGTGAAAAAAAATTGCAAATATAATTCCTGTTTATTATTATTATTATCAACAGTTACTTTTTTATACAGTGAGGTAAATGGTAAATGTGCATGTATGTCGTTCAGTATGCGTTTACAGGTGAATACGTCTGCATTTCCTGCCAAATACTAGCCTCATAAAGATTCAAATATAATGAATGCAAATAAACTACTTCTACTAATAATCATAATCAATTCAATAATATAAATACTATATATTTTTTATTATAATATAGTTGTAATATAGTCAAGACAAAACATGCTTATGACAAAAACTGATATTTCTTAAATCTGTATTCAAACGTATAGTTCCCTCTGTTAGCAATGTGTCAACAACTACACACACATCTCTATCAGTAGCCTATTTCTCTGTGTTGTGGTTGACATGATGATGACTGCTAGGAGTTAAAGGGAGAGGCTGAGCGTCACCATGAAATGTGCAAATTGACATAAAAATGAATAAAAGGGGAAAAAATGCTCCATGTTTTTTAGGCTGTAAACTTTAACTGTTATGTAAGCCAAGTAGACAGACAGTGTATCACTCTTCCTCCTGTACATCAGCAGATCAAAGGCATAACATACTTGAATGAATGGTAAATAAAGAATGCTGGAAATAACTGCATCTCCATTAGCCTATATGCTATGCAGAGACTGCCTTCTTCATGTCGTGAATTGCAGCTGATGTTTTAAGATGGCAATTGGCAATTTGACTTATACAACATTCGCAAGTTGTACATTTGACTCATACAATAACCCACCTTCGAGTGATGCTCTAGTTTCTTCATGTTTTGTTTTTTGCGCCGGACTGAAACTGTCTTTTCACCGACATCTCTTTACCTGCACTAGTGGCCGTATCAAAGCCGTGATTGGTCAGATGTCGATACATTACAACGGCAAGCAGGGGGACACGTCTGGCACTGCAGGATTTGAGTCCCTGGCGGCGTAGTGTGTTACTGATGGTAGCCTTTGTTACTTTGGTCCCAGCTCTCTGCAGGTCATTGACTCGGTCCCCCCGTGTGGTTCTGGGATTTTTGCTCACCGTTCTTGTGATCATTTTGACCCCACAGGGTGAGATCTTGCGTGGAGCCCCAGATCGAGGGAGATTATCAGTGGTCTTGTATGTCTTCCATTTTCTAATAATTGCTCCCACAGTTGATTTCTTCACACCAAGCTGCTTACCTATTGCAGATTCAGTCTTCCCAGCCTGGTGCAGGTCTACAATTTTGTTTCTGGTGTCCTTTGACAGCTCTTTGGTTTTGGCCATAGTGGAGTTTGGAGTGTGACTGTTTGAGGTTGTGGACAGGTGTATTTTATACTGATAACAAGTTCAAACAGGTGCCATTCATACAGTTAACGAGTGGAGGACAGAGGAGGCTCTTATGCCCCGGCCACACGAGGACGAAAACGGCTAAACGCATAGGATTAACGCAAACGCAATCGCAAAAAAGCTTCCGTCCACACGCAATAGTCATCCGGATAGTGTCTGTCCACACGAGACAGCTCAGTTTAGCTCCAACTGCTGGAGAAGCTGCAGTACATATGCAGGAGCCTGTACGTGGCGCTGTAACTTCCTCCACAAAAGCAGCGAAGAAGCATGGTTGTCATGGTGGCCCTTCTGTTTATTCTCCGCGGTGGGGGCCGAGGGAACCGGGCAGAGTTTTTCGCCAGTCAACGTGTATTAAAGTTTAAATCTTCCGACAAAATTATAAAAGTGCCGGTCAAAGGTCTTCTTTGTTATTTATTGAGCTTTAAAACAAATGAATAACGACTCTATATAATATAATAATAAAATACACGGAGCCTCTCTTTTTCCTCCCTCTCTTCGGACAGCGTCAGTGTCTGTTTCATGCAGCAGCTGATCCAGTAATGAGTGACCCGGCCGACAGTAAAAATAAACATATTTATAACTAGTTTAGGTAGTTTGAGAGGTGTCTCCGTCCTGTCAGATTAGACTTCACTCGCGTTTATGTCCATATCGAGAGAAAGATAAATAATCTGAATTCAGTGTGCAGTTTACTTTGTCGCGGGGGTGAGCAGCAGAGGTGGGGAGAGGCGGGGCTATTGCCTCATCATTATCAGAAAATGATCGTATAGGGCGTACACACGGAGCCGTTGGACCCCCCAGAGCGTTGCGTATGCCGTTCTATCCACCTTGGGACCCGTTATCGTTTCCGCAGTCGTTTAGTGCCGTATTCGGTCGTCCTCGTGTGGCCGAACGGTCTATATGACACTAAACAGTAACGCAAACAACCTTTTTCGTCCTCGTGTGGCCGGGGCATTAAAGAAGAAGTTACAGGTCTGTGAGAGCCAGAAATCTTGTTTGTTTGGAGGTGACCAAATACTTATTTTACCGAGGAATTTACCAATTAATTCATTAAAAATCCTACAATGTGATTTCCTGGATTCTTTCCCCCCATTCTGTCTCTCATAGTTGAAGTGTACCTAGGATGAAAATTACAGGCCTCTCATCTTTTTAAGTGGGAGAACTTGCACAATTGGTGGCTGACTAAATACTTTTTTGCCCCACTGTATATATATATATATATATATGTGTATATTATACTGGGTGATTTTCACACTGTGGTTTTAATATGTTTATTTCAATAACTTTGTTGAGCTTGTGTTTAGCTCTATTTCTATCTCACTGAACATAGTCTGTGTGTGAACTGGTTCAGCTGATAAGACCGGTTATCAATCAAGAGGAGGAGCTGCAGACAGGTGAGGGTGTTAAAGTCCAAGTATGAAGTCCGACTGCCAGACGCCATTTTACACCTGGACAGAGCAGGAGGACAACAGGGTGAGTGTTAACACCAGGATCTGCTTTCTAACACATTATTTACTCTGTTTTACTGGATGTCAGAACATTAGCGTTCTAGAGTCCAAAGAGACTTCTACAAGTGGTGTGAACTGGTTTTATTTCCTGTTTTCTAATTCATCAAAGCAACATAACATGCGCAGTCAAAATGGGGAGCGGCCTGTCTGAAGTCTGACTGATTTGATGTATTTGAACCAAGTGTTAAACTTTCCTGTCGGCTCCCAGACCGTAGTGGAGGAAGTAGGGGTGACTCTCTACAGTCTTCCAGGGCAGAAGCAACAAACTTCGGGTTCAATAACCCACTTTTCAAAAAGGGAGACAGGCGAGCTCTTCTTTGGGAGGCCGTTGCATTTATTAAGGTCTTTGTTACAGATCTAACTTTGAAGACACTCGACAGACCTTTGCTGCTGCTTCGCTCACTTCAAAAACACACAGCACCGCTCGCTCTCGCAACCTTGCGCACACACATGCACGCGCCTCCCCCCTCTTTGCCTCAGTCTGAAAGAAAGAAGTGAAATGTGCCAACATGACGGCCGTCTGTGTGTGTGGTGCGAGACGGGAGTTGTAGTTCATTGAGCGGTTTCACACAAAAAAATTGTTACTTCACAGTTTTACGACACTTTTTTATTTTTTTGACTTGCAAAATTATCTTTAAATTGACAAACATCATATGTGTAATTCGTGGCACAATTCAAACGGGATCGAAAGATAATCTTTCTCTCCCCATTGACTTCTGTTAGAGTTGGTGAGGTCCTGATAATTTATTCCGGGAAATTACTCTGACCTACTAATTGACCTAACCGAAGTAATTGAGTCTATGTAAGTTTATTGCTTGGCTCAGATCCACCAACGTCAGCAAGATCTCACCTCTATTAACTCCCCGAAGAACCAGGTTCAATTAACTGCTGTTTCAATTCAGACGACTCTCTTAAATCTGTTTAAGCGATCCCGAAGGATTTTTGATATCAGTAAATAAGGTGTGGCCCTACCTAAGTGTGAGAGTGGCAGGGTGCAATCTTACCTTTGAAGCAGGAGAGGAGTGCGCTGATGTCTTTTAAGTTGTCCCAATCCAAAAGGTGGGATCAGTTTATTTGAAAAAAAATAGGTCCAAACTAATACACACTATAGATACTAAAGCCATCGTTAGCATTACAGATCTCCTACCAGCAGGGTAAGGCTTCATAAAGGGTTACACTAGCAATGCTAATTAATGCTAACTTGCTAGCTAGCTGGTGAATCTGCAATTAAAAATGTTGTTGAAGGCCTGATAAAATTTAAATATTGTCCTCTTGCTGGAGCTTGACTCACTTTTTATTTGGATCATTCCAGAATTGGAGGACATTTAGACATCAAAACATTTGATTAAATTAAGCCTTTTTTTGTGTTCTGTGTATTCCGTATATTTGAGAAGTATTAAGCCATCAGAAAATGGATCAATCCAGCTCAGGCATCAATGGTTCACTTTTGATCTGATGTTGTATTTGTTGCTTTTTAACAGCGCTCAATGGTGGGTTGAAATAATTAGAAATCAATTAAAAAAAGGTCTGACTATTAACCTCTTGATCTAACACGGTTCGGCTGCATTAAATATTACACATCTGCCGTAGTTCTCTATTTATAGAGCCATGATTAGAAGACCTATTGAGTAAGGAGATGTTTTTATGAACCACACAGCTTCCGGTCTTCCAAGACCCGACCGGACACAAAAAAATACATTGCTTTTAAAATCGTTCTGTGTGAAACGAAAAAAAGGGGAAATCGTGTTGGTGAACACGAATCAATAGATTAAATGTCGTGACTATAACACGAAATGCCGTGAGACTGGGTTGTTTAAACACAGTTGTGTTCGTCTGGTGCCAGTAACAAAAAAGGCCATTCATATTATGGGAAAATACAGTACAATATGCAGCAGGGTTATTAATCCAGAAACAGATATATATCTGTTTCTGGATTAATAACCCTGCTTAAAAGTGACATGTAATGTAATGATTAGGGCCTACTTACATACTTTAACTAAAGTGAGGTTTTGAATGCAGGATGTTTACTGGGTGATTTTTACACTGTGGTTTTAATATGTTTATTTCAATAACTTTGTTGAGCTTGTTTTTAGCTCTGTTTCTATCTCACTGAACATAGTCCGTATATGTGAACTTGTTCGGCTGATAAGACCGAGGATAAAATAAGACCGGTTATGAATCAAGAGGAGGAGATGCAGACAGGGGGAGGGAAGTTGAAACTCAGACGCCATTTTACACCTGGACGGAGCAGGAGGACAACAGGGTGAGTGTACTGTTAACACCAGGATCTGCTTTCTAACACATTATTTACTCTGTTTTACTGGATGTCAGAATATCAGCGTCCTAGAGTCCAAAGAGACTTCTACAAGTGGTGTAAACCTAAACTGGTTTTATTTCCTGTTTTCTGATTCATCAAAGCAACATAACATGCCCAGCGAGGTCAAAATGGGGAGCGGCCTGTCTGAAGTCTGACTGATTTGATATATTCTAAACAGGCCCACCCCTCCCTACCCTACACGCAGATCACGCAGACCGCGTGGGGCCTCGCCTCACTTCGCGGAGGGAGCCTCATCTCAATCGCACATGTGCCCTGGCACTCCGCAGTTGCTCGCAGTTGCTCGCAGTTCACGGCGTTCACTAGCTCCCCGTCGACGTTTGCGACACAGAGGGCCTCATCACAACACTTTGGCCCAATTCCAACCCACACCCTACCCACTCCCACTCCGTGGCGGAAAGACACTCGCAGCTCAACGAGGCTCCCTCCTGTCAGATGGAGGGAATAAATACAGCGGCAAGTTTTGGGACAAACTCCCCTCTCTCCGGCAGAAACAGGAAATGCCGTAACTGTATGTTGCCAACTCTCACGCATCTGGCGTGTGACACACGCTTTCACTCTCAATCTCACGCTCTCACGTTGCCCAAACTATTCTCACGCCATAACAAGATGAACCTGCGATCGTTTTTGGTTGGTTATTTACAATGTTGAGTTGACAGCTGCTCAAGCTGCACACACACATGCAAGCGCCCCACCCCTCTCTCTCTTAAAGGGACAGCAGCCTGACTCTGCATGACCCTAATATCATAACACAAGTTTATTATTATGATGGTTATGATTGAAACAAGTGTGTTTATTATAATGTGTGTGTGTGTGTGTGTATTCAGTGTTACTGGTTTATCTCTCAGACTGGAGAAGATGAGTGATTTAAAAGATGAGGAAGAGGACACATCTTCAGTCCCCAGCTGTCTGTCTCTGAAGAGTGACTGGTCTATGCCGGAACCTCCATACTTCAGTAATGAACCTGGACCATCAGACACAAAGTAAGAGTTTCTGCTGTAACCTGACCTGAAGAGGATCCAGTTTTTATGTTACAATTTACCACATATGGTGTTCTTAGTTTCCATACCTCCTGTGTTTTATGAGCGACTTATCAAGTCTTAGCAAACGGCATAAAACATGTTTAAACATGGTAGTATATAAAACCATGCTCGTACAACCTAGAAATGCAAAACCGCATAATTTATGAGAAAACATTTCATAACATTAACACAACATATTCAAGGTGGTTTTAAATAACATATCTGTATTTATTTATTTCTCCAAGTTATGTTTTTGTGTGCACTGAGGAGTCTCAAACAGGCGTTTGTTTAATCATTTTAAGATTGGCTTTAATCAATGTTTGAAAATGAATTCTTCATATGATAAATGAGAGGTAACATTTTGTTTATGGTATTATTTCCACATATTTATCTCCATTCTTCCTTCTGCCAACGGTGTCGCAGTTTCTCGTCTGTCCCGTTTTTGTGCTTGGTGCGTACGCATGGGTTAGAGTTTGCGTGGAGGACCGCACGTTTTCCCGTCAAGTTAGTATTTTATAAATCGCAAACATTGCGTAGAAACTGGCTTATGCCATTTTTTGAGCGTATATCCCTTTATAAATGAGGCCCCTGAAGAGGATCCAGTTGTTATGTTATCTGATAATCTAAACTGTTCTTTAATGATCGCAGTAAAGAAACTTAGTAACAGTACAGTAACAAAGTTTAAACTCTTGATCCCTGGCGTCATCAGCGATTTGACAGAAGTCAAAATCTGCTCTCTGAATGAACTAATGATGTTTAAAACATGTGTTGTTTCCACAGAGAGAGAGCAGAGTCTCCAGTCCCCAGCTGTCTGTCTCTGAAGAGTGACTGGTCTATGCCGGAACCTCCATACTTCAGTAATGAACCTGGACCCTCAGACACAAAGTAAGAGTTTCTGCTGTAACCTGACCTGGGGCCTAATTTATAACGCCGTGCGTAGGATTCACGTGGGAAGGTTGCTTACGTAGTAGAAATCCAAAAAATAGGTACAGAAATGTTCCGACATTTTCCGATTCACCAAACATTGCGTACCGGCGAGGAAAGTGCGTACAGCACTTCCTACGCCGGTTTCCCTTTATAAATCACAACCGACTCGAAATGCGGTGCAGCTTTTGCGGACTTCACGTAACGCCCATATTTGCCTATAAATAGTCAAAGAAACGCCCATTCATTCATTCATTTTGACTGACTTTATGAAGAAGATAGCAGGAAATGACGACAGAACAGCTAAAAAATACATCTCACACCGTGTCAGATTTTGGTTATTTTGGGGAGGTCGAGATAAATCATATTGTTTGATGGATGCCGTTTGAACCAGAGTAGCAGCATGTAGGTCGGATCGTCACCAAAATAAATAAATAAGTGGTCCGAAAAAGGTTCATGACAAAAAAAATACACCTAAGCCTCATCCCAATACCCCTCCTCGAGTCCTCTTCCCCTCCTCCGGGACTTGACCCGGAAATCGATCAAGACACGCAATTTTGAAGGACGTCCCAATAGCTGAAATGCACACGGAGGAGTCGAGGATGGGTGCGGGAGGAGACGAAAGGGAGGATACACGAGAGCAGACTAGGCGGAAGTGTTTTCACTACTCACGTATAAAAGCCCCACCCCCACCTTCACAGCTGGTCCATTTCAACAGAGGAAAACCGACAACTGGAAGATGAGTGGAAAAGCGTCACATAAATGTATAAGTGCTCACAGCTCCGTGGGAATTATTATGGGCAATTAATTTCTTAAGGTTATACTAACAATTTTAGTCATGTTTAATGATCTTTAACGTCACTGAAACATATCTATTAAGACAGCTATTTCATAAATGGCTAGATCTTGATAAATAACAATTATTCGTATAGTTTTGTGTTAAGATATTCAGGAGTTAAATTATTTAAAATGCACAGTCCTGAATGTGGGTTTGTGGGGATCTACAGGACACACATGTTCAGAGTAAAGGCTTTCACATTACTATAATTATATTTTAATTTAAATGTAGGTTACATTTGACACCAAAACGGAACACCAAAGCAGGACCAACCATCATACATTGAATTCCTTGACTAACAAGAGAAAGATTCATTCATTTAAATAAATATGTAACCACAAATGGGCGGGTTCTAAAGGGTTATTCAGTTAAGCCCGATAAGAGGGGATACAGCTGTGCACATGTCATCATTAACAGACGTTTGAAAGCGACGTTTGAGTGAACGAGGACATCCCAATTAATACCTGAGGACTCCTCTGTCCTTGCGTCACCTCCTCGTGTCTCTCGCTTGCATCTTACGGAGGCGGAGCTAAGACGCAAGGAAGGGAGGCGAGTGAGGGAAAGGAGGAGTCGAGGAGGGGTATTGGGATGAGGCTCTAGCCTTCCTCAGGCAGTGTGTTTGTACCGGGGACAGGAGACACCCCCTTGATGAGAAACTGAAAGAAATGATCGGGGAATCCCTCCGGAGTGGAGTCATGACGACCGGATCTGAATTATGTTTTCGTATTTGGTGGTTTGTGTCCCAGCTGTCGATCAGCTGTGCACAGCGTCTCCACTGCAGCAACTCTATATCCACCAGTTAGAGGAAATACAACTAATGTGTTGTGTTATATTAGCTGTACAATTTACCACATATTGTGTTCTTAGTTTCCATACCTCCTGTGTTTTATGAGCGACTTATCAAGTCTTAGCAAACGGCATAAAACATGTTTAAACATGGTAGTATATAAAACCATGCTCGTACAACCTAGAAATGCAAAACCGCATAATTTATGAGAAAACATTTCATAACATTAACACAACATATTCGAGGTGGTTTTAAATAACATATCCGTATTTATTTATTTCTCCAAGTTATGTTTTTGTGTGCACTGAGGAGTCTCAAACAGGTGTTTGTTTAATCATTTTAAGATTGGCTTTAATCAATTTTTGAAAATGAATTCTTCATATGATAAATGAGAGGTAACATTTTGTTTATGGTATTATTTCCACATATTTATCTCCATTCTTCCTTCTGCCAACGGTGTCGCAGTTTCTCGTCTGTCCCGTTTTTGTGCTTGGTGCGTACGCATGGGTTAGAGTTTGCGTGGAGGACCGCACGTTTTCCCGTCAAGTTAGTATTTTATAAATCGCAAACATTGCGTATAAACTGGCGTACGCCATTTTTTGAGCGTATATCCCTTTATAAATGAGGCCCCTGAAGAGGATCCAGTTGTTATGTTATCTGATAATCTAAACTGTTCTTTAATGATCGCAGTAAAGAAACGTAGTTACAGTAACAAAGTTTAAACTCTTGATCCCTGGCGTCTTCAGCGATAGTAAATAATCTACACACAGACAGAAGTCAAAATCTGCTCTCTGAATGAACTAATAATGTTTAAAACATGTGTTGTTTCCAGACAGAGAGCAGAGTCTCCAGTCCCCAGCTGTCTGTCTCTGAAGAGTGACTGGTCTATGCCGGAACCTCCATACTTCAGGAATGAACCTGGACCTTCAGACACAAAGTAAGAGTTTCTGCTGTATCCTGACCTGAAGAGGATCCAGTTTTTATGTTATCTGATATATTAAACTGTTCTTATATATAATATCATGTGTGCAGTATAGTACAGAACAAAGGCAGCAGAGTTCAGCAAGCTAACATTATTTGAGGATATTTCAATATGCATTTATAGCATCATTGTATCAGTGGTGTTAACGATGCCATGATGTTAGGGCAGGAATACCGTGAACAGTTTAACGTGACAGAGGAATAAATACACACATACACCGTCGGCTTTGCTTCAACCGGAAGTGACTCTTTTTTATTGCGCATGTCCCTTTTATCACGGGAATACAGGAAGTGATTAGTATAAGAGTATTACATAAACAAATTCATATATTACAATTCATAATTCAACAAGTGGCATAACATGGTTTTAAATGGCAAAGATATTGATAAACACTCACTAAAAATATATATAATATATCGTCCAAAACATTATTTACTACTTGGGCTTGTTTATGATGTATTTTAAAGATGTTTATTAAAAATAGTGATGACCTGGTGAGCTGGTTGTGTTTAGCATTAGCATTAGCTTTAGCAGATATAACAGTTTTGTGCGATTACATGTAGAGTCAATGCAAAGACCCAGATCCGTGCCTGGCAACACCAATAAACTTAATATATAACAAATATTTACAAAACATGTCTTTTATAAACACACCATTGACCGAAAAGGAGCAGGGAGAAGAAAATACTCGTATATTACCTGCCCCTTTCCCTTACCTTCCCCACACATAACAGTATCGTAGGATAATAAGAGAAACACAAAAACGTACTAACAAAAATACTTAGTTCCCACTTGACAGTTAACGGAAAGAAACAAAACTAAAAAACAACTCATGTGCAAGGAAAAGTGCAACACCCTAAGTCCTACTTTTCATGGGCCCTTTCTCATTTCACTAATTTCCCCTCCTTGATTTCTCCGATTTGAGGAGTCGAGGAGGGGAAATTAGTGAAATGAGAAAGGGCCCTTGTGTCTTGTCTGATCCTACTTCCTGTGTTTGCCTTCCTGTCGTTAGTTTCCCTGGTGTGTCTGATTGTGTTCACCTGTTGCCCTTGTGTTTCTGCCTCCCCTTCCCAGTTGTGTCTTGTCCTGTGATTACCCTTCTGTGTATTTAGTCTTATCTTCCCCTGTGCTCCATGTCTATTCCTTCTCTCCTCGTCTATGTTACCTGCCCCTCTTGATGTCCATGCTCTTGTCCATGCTACCTGTCACGCTCCATGCTTGTTCCTGAGGTTTTTTGTCCTGATCCTTCCTCGTGCTCCCTGGTTTCCTTCCTCGTACTCCCCCGGTTTTGGTAATGTTAAGTTGTTCCTTGTTTTCAGTTGTCATCAGCTTTGGGAAATAAAGCTCGCTTTTTGTTACCTAACCTTTTAGTCCTCTTATTTCATTTGGGTCCTATTTTTCCCCACCCGACAGTACGGACAGACCAGGTATGGACCCAGCAGTAATTTTTGATGATGCTCTTGATGAGCTTTCGTACAAGATTTTGTGTATTTTTGGGAGTGTGGAGGAGGGCTCCTCGTAAAGAGGCTCAGGAGGCCGCTCTTTCACATGCACGCCGGGAAGTGGCAGATAAGCCCTGGCTGGGGAGCTCACTGCCAGAAATATTGAGGACATTTGTGACTTCCCCAGACAGTCTGCATGCCTGCCTCAAACCCCGTGCCCCAGCAGCCAAGCTTTCGGCTACGGCCCCAGCACCCAAGCGACCGCCTTGAGCTCAAGCGGCCTTGGTTCCAGCTCCCGTTCCGGTCCTAGTTCTGGCCCCAGCAGCCATGGTTCCAGCCCCAGCAGCCGTATTTCCTGCCCCTGCAGCCGTGCTTCCGGCCCCAGCAGCCATGGTTCCGGCCCCAGTTTTGGCTCCAGTACTGGCTCTCCGGCCGACGCCAGTTCCCCGTGTCCTGTCGGCGTTCTGACCGACGCCAGTTCCCCGTGTTCTGTCGGCGTTCCGACCAACTCCAGCTCCCCGTCTCCTGTTGGCGGTCCGGCCTTCTCAAGTCCCTTCTCAGGTCCCTGCTCAAGGCCCTTCTCTAGTCCCTTCTCAAGTTAAAACCCGGCTCCTGGGCTGCAACAAAAAGTTGGGAGGCGAGACGAGGGGTATGAATATAACAATCGTTTATTTATAATAAACAAACAAGTGAATGAGACCAACAACAGGTCCCCCGAGGCTGGCACGGAGAGAGTGCCCAGAGGAGAGAGGGGCCTCTCGAAACGTGATGGGCTGTCCAGCCGCTGCCTTCGCCCTTGTGCCCGGCTTCCTGAGTTCGCCCCTCCTTGAACTTTGCCTTGCCCCTGGGCCGTCCGCCCGAGACCACCTCCTCAAACTCTGCCCTGCCCCCGGGCCGTCCACCCGAGTCCCCATTCTCGGCTTCTGCCGTGCCGTCAACCCAAACCCCTCCTCTGGACCCCTTCCACCCACCCTTTTGGCCCTAGTTATCCCTAGTTTCCTTCCTCGTACTCCCCCGGTTTTGATAATGTTAAGTTTTTCCTTGTTTTCTGCTTTGGGAAATAAAGCTAGCTTTTTGTTACCTAACCTTTTAGTCCTCTTACTGCATTTGGGTCCTATTTTTCCCCACCCCTGACACTACTGGAGAAGAAGAGTCTTGAGTGTGACGTTGGTGACGCTCTGCCCATTGGTGAGAATCAGCTCCACTAATGTAAAGTGTTGATCTCCACAGAGGGAAGAGGAAGAGTGGTGTTCCTGTGGAGGAGCAGCTGTCCAGCTGTGCTCTGTGACAGGCGTCCTGAAGGATCCAGTCTCTACCAGCTGTGGACACTGGTTCTGCAGACAGTGCATCACCTCATACGGGGAGCAGAGAACTCCATCAGGAGACCCCTCCTGTCCCCAGTGTGGAGAAAGAACCAGAGCTGGACTGCAGACAGCCAGTCAGACCGGAACTGTACAAGGTAAGAGGCCGAACATACGCAGCGTTTTATTCCTCTTCCTGGTTCATTTGTTTCTGAATAGGTATACTGTTCTAGAGCAGAGACAGTAAGCTGTTTTATAAAACATTTAAACTCAGTCCGTTTGTTGTTGTTTTATTGTTATAATTAGATTCTCTGAGCATTTTCCTCATTCTCTCATGTTTCCTTCTCTTCCAGCAGATAGTGGTCTGCAGGAGGTTTTAGATGAACATAGGCTCAGTCTGAGGAGGAGATGTGAACATGTGACTGAAGGAACTGATCAGAGTGAAACCCTCCTCAACAGCATCTTCACTGAGCTCTACATCACACAAGGCCAGAGTGAAGAGGTTAATACCCAACATGAGGTGAGGCAGCTGGAGACAGCTTCCAATAAGAAGCCCCTCCATGACACTCCAATCAAGTGCCAGGACATCTTTAAAGCCTTACCTGACCAACAGACTCTGATCAGAGCGGTCCTGACCAACGGAGTCGCTGGAGTTGGAAAAACCTTCTCAGTGCAGAAGTTCACTCTGGACTGGGCCGAGGGTTTGGAAAACCAAGATGTCAGTCTGGTGATCCCGCTCTCCTTCAGGGAGCTGAACCTGATCAAAGGTGAGCAGTACAGTCTTCTCAGGCTGCTCCATGTTTTCCATCCAACCTTGCAGAAGGTCACAGCAGAGCAGCTGGCTGTCTGTAAAGTGCTGCTCATCTTTGACGGCCTGGATGAAAGCAGACTTTCTCTGGACTTCAGAAACAATGAGGTTGTGTCTGAAGTCTCACAGCAGTCCTCAGTCAACGTGCTGCTGACAAACCTCATCAGGGGGAAGCTGCTTCCCTCAGCTCTCGTCTGGATAACTTCCAGACCTGCTGCGGCCAATCAGATCCCTCCTGAGTGTGTGGACAGGGTAACAGAAGTACGAGGCTTCACTGACGCCCAGAAGGAGGAGTACTTCAGGAGGAGATCGAGTGATGAAGACCTGTCCAGCAGAATCATCTCTCACATCAAGAGCTCCAGGAGCCTCCACATCATGTGTCTGATCCCAGTCTTCTGCTGGATCACTGCTACAGTTCTGGACCACATGTTGACTACAGACCAGAGAGGAGAGCTGCCCCAGACCCTCACTGACATGTACTCACACTTCCTGCTGGTCCAGACCAAGAGGAAGAAGCAGAAGTATGAAGAGGGACATGAGACGAGTCCACAGCAGCTGACGGAGGCTGACAGGGAGCTTCTTCTGAAGCTGGCGTTTGAACATCTGGAGAAAGGAGACATCATGTTCTACCAAGAAGACCTGCAGCGCTGTGGTCTTGATGTCAACGAGGCCTTGGTGCACTCAGGAGTTTGTACACAGATCTTCAAAAGAGAGAGTGTGATCTTCCAGAAAACAGTCTACTGCTTTGTTCATCTGAGCATTCAGGAGTTTCTGGCTGCAGTCTACGTGTTGCACTGTTACACCAACAGAGACACAGAGGTACTGAAGGACTTCCTGAGGAGAGACGGGGACGAAGACAATGATAGCAGTGATGATGATAACCCATCCCTGGATGTCTTCCTGAAGGGAGCCATGCAGAAATCCCTCAGAAGTAAAAATGGCCACCTGGACCTGTTTGTCCGCTTTCTCTACGGCCTCTCTCTGGAGTCCAACCAGAGTCTGTTAGGAGGCCTGCTGGGTCGCACAGACAACAGACCAGAAACCATCCAGAGAGCCATCAGCAACCTGAAGGAGATGAGCAGTTATGAATTCTCTCCTGACAGGTGCATCAACATCTTCAACTGTCTGACAGAGATGAAGGACCACTCAGTACATCAGGAGATCACAGAGTTCCTGAAGTCAGAGAACAGATCAGAGAGGACACTCTCTGTGATCCACTGCTCTGCTCTGGCCTACATACTGCAGATGTCAGAGGAGGTTCTGGATGAGTTGGACCTGAAGAAGTACAAAACATCACAGGAGGGACAACTGAGACTGCTTCCAGCTGTGAGGAACTGCGGGAAGGCAAAGTAAGTCCAGATGTGATTAACTTTATGATCTAATGTGGATCAGGAGTTTAATTATTCAAATAAACACTATAACATTTATGCTGTTTAAATACTGAGAGAGCAAAATAAAACCAACACTCTTCTTCTATTTATTTATAATGATAGTTAAACTGAAGCGTTTCTCTCTTCATATTGAGTGATGGAGGCGACATGTCAAACACATGAAGGACTTGAGAGGTTGCCTTACAGTTATCACAGAAACATGTTATTATTACTTTCTAGTAGTTTCTTTTATAATTAAACAGACACACGTTTTAATGTCAATGTATTAGAGTTTAAAATAAGATCTATATAATTTCCCACCAATAACAGAGTTATGTCTTAATGAAGATATACTGGGAACATCTGATACAAAAATAAATATATTATAACTTTATTGGTTTGTTAATTGTGTTTGTGTGCGCAATAAATGTTCAGATGCTCAGAGAAGCCAAAACATCCTTCATCCACATCCAAATATTAATTAACATTTAAATATGTATTGTACATCTCTAATATCGTCAAGTGATTCATTTAATTTCTGTTTCTTTTGGTAACAGTCAGTGACAGCAGGAGCACAGACATGAGATCAGATCACACTGACAACACATTAAACTCTATTATAGTATATTATATTAACTGGACCAACAGCAGATGTCTATCAGAACATGTGAAATATTTGTTCATCAAATGCTTGATGTTAATATAATGTTTCCTCCTTTAACAAATGTTGTGATATATGTTTTATTATAGACTTACTCTCTGTGGACTCTCAAAGACTGACTATGAAGTCGTGGCCTCAGCTCTGAAGTCTGACCCCTCCCATCTGAGAGAGCTGGAGCTGACTCACAACGCTCTGATGGATTCAGAAGTGGAGCTGCTGAGTTCTGGACTAAAGAGTCCAAACTGCAGACTGGAGGCTCTCAGGTCAGTTCACTGACTGCAGTTCATATTGATCTGTTTGTGTTTATGATTTTCTGAATTTGAACAAATACAATGTTATTGTTATTTGTTCCGTTTTTGCTAATAACTGAATATTGATCAGAGTAACAGAGAGAAGGTGAATGTGTGAGGGAGAGAGTTTGAGCTTCCACAGACTCACCCTGTGCTCCAGGAGTCAGTGGAGATGCTGTCAGTACTGAGGAGCTGTGAGGGAGATGAAGGAGTTGTTCAACATCTGATCAAAGTTAAAGTTCCAGATTACCAGTGGATTGTTTCTGCAATCATCTCTGACATTAAAACCCTGTTTAACTCTGAACAGATTATTAAACCTGGAGTTATTTCAAACAGGAACATTGTTTTCTAAAGTTACATCATGTTTTCTTTATTCAGACTGGAGGGCTGCAGTTTGTCACAGATCAGCGTTTCTGCTCTGATCTCAGCTCTGAAGTCCAACATCCACCTGAGAGAGCTGGACCTGAGTCACAATGCTCTGCAGGATTCAGGAGAGAAGCTGCTGAGAGATCTTCTGGAGAGTCCAGACTGCAGACTGGAGACCCTCAGGTCAGTAAGGGGTCTCTGCTGGTTCAGCAGTATTGTATGAAACACAGGGAGGTGTTTCTCTCACTGGGGAATCACAACAGATCAGTGATGTTACCCACTGACTGCAGGCTCTCTCATTCTTCCATCAACTAGAGAAGGCCAGCTGAAAATGCAAAGCCACGTTTAGTAAGTAATCAACTTTCCACCAGACATATGGGGTTTGACAGAAGAGTGGAAAAGGTAGTCTGTTTTTGATGGGATGTTTTTAGTTCCTTGACTAATGACTGTTACTTCCTGTCATGCAGCTGAGAGCTGTGGCAGTCAGTCGTAGTGTTTGCAGAGAAGATATGATGGGATGTAAAGCATGAGATCAGTCAGGACTCTGAAGCTGACTCAAAGAACAAACACTTATTTTAAACTGGATCCATAACTGTTGGATTGTGTTCATCCCTACAGGATCAGAGATGATGAGACGATCAGAGCCAAGATCCAGAAGACCTGTGAGTACTGAATATCCTCCATGTTGTGGAAATATTTTCCAAGGCCCATAACTTTGACCCAGTTTATCAGTTCAAACTGTCCTGACTGAGCACACGCACCTCGTAACCTTGGCTGCTGTGCTCTCAGTGTTCTGTCTCCCTGTTCCTAACTGTTGACGTCAGCTGATAGAGGTGTTATGATTTTATCTTGTTATGCAGCAGTTTGATGATGCTCTCAGAACTAGTTAAATACATGGGTCTGAGGTAGAGTTCTTGAGAATTGACGTGGCAACTCTACCGTGAAGTCAGAACCTCTGGCTCTTGTGATGTGAATCCTCCGGCCGTTAACTCCAAATAAACCATCAGTGTTTGACATCAAAGCTCCTGCTCTTCCCGTGTCTCCTTCCTGAGTCGGTGACTCCCACAGCATTGCTACACAGAAGTTTCCCTTACACTCCATTCATCCAGATATGAAACTCTTTAATGGAGCATGTCCTCAGAGGAAAACAACACTTGTTTCTCTCTCTTCATCATTTTGGCTGTTTCTCTTCACAAGAACTGTCTATCAAAACAGTGACGCGTTCACTGTCACTCTGTAAAATGTAAATAAACTCTGAAGAATAAAACACATGAAAACATCAACATTATAACCAGTCTGTTACAGTACTACCATCAACATATACTTCAGTAAAAGTAGAAGTACTCAGACCTTGTTCTTGAGTAAAAGTAGAAGTACTCAGATCAGGTACTTCAGTAAAAGTAGAAGTACTCAGGTCTTGTACTTGAGTACAAGTAGAAGTTCTCAGATCAGGTACTTCAGTAAAAGTAGAACTACTCAGATCTTGTACTTGAGTAAAAGTAGGAGTACTCAGATCTTGTACTTGAGAGAAGTAGATGTACAAGAGTGTGGGAATACTCTGTTACAGTAAAAGGCCTGCATTAAAATGTTACTCAATAAAAGTAGAAAACTATTAGCATCAAAATATAGTTAAAGTATTCATTGTGTAGATTGTTCCATTTCAGAATAATATATATGATACGTTTTATAATTATTGATCATATCAGGTATTAAATAAATGTAGTGGAGTAAAAGTACACCATTACCTCTGAACTGTAGTGGAGTAGAAGTACAAAGTAGCCCAAAATGGAAATACTCAGGTAAAGTACAAGTACCTCAACATTGTACTTAAGTACAGTACTTGAGTAAATGTACTTAGTTCCTCTCCTGATCTGTAAAGCTCTCCCAACATATGCAGGTTAGCATCCGGCAGCTTCTATGCACTGGGGACCCGTACTGTACATGTCTATCATCACACTTTGGGCTCCTCAACATGTGTGGGTTCCCAGCAGGACTCTATGAGCTGCAGACACATTCTTTCTGTGACTTTGTTCCAGATATTTGGAGCATAATAACTGAAGCTGTTTCTCCATGTTCAGGAACTCCCATCCCCCGAGTCCTGCGGCAGGAAACGCTCCATCTCTCCAAGAACTCCTGGACCCTGCAAGCTGGTCCAGAACCAGAGTCCCAGTGAGGAGTCCAGCCAGTCGACCTCTCAGAGTTAAACTAAACTACAACATTATTAAAGATCATGTCTAAAGTAAAAAAAGGACGCTTTCAGACTGAATCCAGAAGTTTCTCAAGCTGCAGTCAAAGCAGATCATTTGTGAAATATATATATATAAAAAAAACCTGTAATAAGAATGACTCTGAATACTTTCTTTGGACATTCTATTTACAATTTCTTTAAACAAATATTTAAAATGTTTCTGACTTTCTATCCGAGTGCCTTTCTCATGAATTAACTACTTAAATCTTCTTTTCTTTTCACAGGATTTTTTTTTCTCCATGTAACTTCAAGACTAATTATTATTTTCTCAGCCCTGTAATACATTTTTTTTTTTTTTAAATAAATATCCCATGTGTTGTACTTGTATCCTGATTGATGAGTCAGCAGTAAAGCAGCCAGGCAATAACGGTCAGCTTTTATGTGTATTTGTTAATTGGCTCATATGTGCTCAATTTGACCCTGAATGTAACAGGAGGGTTAAGAAATAATTGTATATTTCCCTGGCTTGAATCCTTTCAAAAGAAGGTAATAAATAATGACTATCTAAATTCAATAAGAACAACATAAATAATAGGTCCAGGCTAACATGGGAATTGTATATATAACAACATTCAAACCTGGTCATTTGGTCATGAACAGAACTCCCTGCACGAACAGGCAGGGTTTGCTGGTGTTCCTGCACTGTCTGCTGTCTGCTTTCCCCTGACTGTCCCTGGTCTTCAGTTTTCATTAAACAAGATGTAGGTTACATGATGTCATAAACGTAACATTTATGGGCTATATTCATATGTTATACACAAATACCAAACATGTTCGTTACCTCAGGTAGAATCCTTTGAGTTAATATTTACATCTCTGCTTTTATATACAGGATAACATATAAAGTTACCAAGCTGCCTATGTCCTCCAGTATCCAAGTCAAAATAAGTACAATATATAAAACATAGCGCCACTCGCTTCTGCCTTCAGTATGGCCAACAGATCCTGTGCCGCCTTACGCATTTTAGTCTAAGGAAACAGGACAAATAATATATATATATATATTTAGTTTTACATTCATTTACATTAATTCATTGATTTAAAATATTTTTTTTAGTGTCCTTTCATTTAAAATCGGCATTCGATTCAGAGACTCACCCAGTTAATGTTTGCTAGATAAATAGCTACAGTAACTAAACAGCACACTGACAGGGTAATCATAAAACGGCCTCTAGGTAAACTTGTATTCTACATGTTAACACTGTGGACCTTCATTTTCTTATGTCATCCTGTCAGTCACTAACAGAGGATGGACATAGTACTGTAAAATGATTCTATACATGGGCACAGCATAGCTGTTAAGGATCTGAAATCCATTTTTCAAAGACTGAAACAGCGCCCCTCTTAATTAATGTGTGGTGAAACACAGTATTGCACGCTACACTCACTGTATACTATACCCACAGTCCGCTGTGTCAGGGATATGTCAAGGAAAGCCCGCCGGCCCTTCTCTTCCGACCAATCAAATAATCGGAAGGGAAGGCCTGACGTGCCGTGTGTGACGCTGCGTCTCATACACAACTGCCCGCGACAAGAGGCAGATATGAAATCTGCCTTCTACACAATATAATATTTGCAAGTATAGAGTAGTGGCTGATGTTTTTAGTCAGAAACAGGTAGACTGTAGTGTACACTTACTACTAATAAATAACTTTAGTGCTGAGTTACTTATTTGCACTGTAAGAGAGAGTATATCAACGCAGCCTCTGTCGGTCTTCTCACTCACACTTTCCCGCCACGTCTGGCCGAACAATGAAACCTAGCCAAAGTAGTTAGATAGCATTAAACATATAGCTGCTGATGCTATCAATATAATGCCGATTGAAGAATGATGGTCACAGAAAAGAGTGTAAGCTACATTAAGTTAAAATAAAATAAATATAATAAAAAAGAAGAAGAAGAAGAACGGCCTAAAGGAAAATAATTGTCATCCAGGCAGCTAAACTCAAACAATAGTTAGCTGTTCAACATTGGCAAAACATATTTAATTCAGTTAAAAAATATGTATTTAGACCCCTAGCTTGCTCACATTATGACAATATATCTGCTCCCTTTGTTAAAAACGTTTTGTTTCTGTATAACTTACCTAGTGTTAAGACTCTTCTCCGCTGACATCCATCCTCCACAGCAGCCAGAGGTGAAATGGCAGTTGGGATATTTGATGGACAGTTGGACAGTTGAAAAATGATACATTTGAAATAACTCAACCGTGATTAATAAATAAAATACCAATTGAATCTTCTGCTTTTTACTCATAGCCTTGTGTATAAGCCAGGCTCCCTCTAGCTCAGCCATCTTGGGGTAGACCTCACAAAGGATATTTGTAATCTATTGATTAAAATAATGCAACTAGGGGTTAACAAAATGTTCTTTAATTGTATTACAGACAGTTTGCATGCCTGTTGGATGCACATTACTCATTATGATATCAGTCTTAACACTAACATATGTAACTTTCTGATAAAGTGATTGTGAGAACACACTTTCTTTTCTAATTTCATTTTGTTGCTCTTATAAAACCAAAGAATCATATTTACCTCCTTATGGTCAGCATCCTCCGGGACATGTGCAGACCTTCTTCCCAGCCCAGCCTGCAAGAGAATAAGCTCCTCAGAGGGCTTAGGGGTTTTCTCGGAGGAAGAGGCGAGGAAGAAGAATGGAACACGAACTGTTTTAGGGCCTGTTCTTTTCTTTGCACTTTTGGGAAAGGATCTGACGTTTTTGTTTGACCGGAATAGTCCAGGAAAAGACCTGAAAGACAGGGTGTAGATGACATTTGAAGTAATACAAAAGCGGCAAAACTGAGGAACAAACTTTAACAGAACTATTTAAGAAATAATTGTATATTTCCCTGGCTTGAATCCTTTCAAAAGAAGGTAATAAATAATGACTATCTAAATTCAATAAGAACAACATAAATAATAGGTCCAGGCTAACATGGGAATTGTATATATAACAACATTAAAACCTGGTCATTTGGTCCTGAACAGAACTCCCTGCACGAACAGGCAGGGTTTGCTGGTGTTCCTGCACTGTCTGCTGTCTGCTTTCCCCGGTCTTCAGTTTTCATTAAACAAGATGTAGGTTACATGATGTCATAAACGTAACATTTATGGGCTATATTCATATGTTATACACAAATACCAAACATGTTCGTTACCTCAGGTAGAATCCTTTGAGTTAATATTTACATCTCTGCTTTTATACACAGGATAACATATAAAGTTACCAAGCTGCCTATGTCCTCCAGTATCCAAGTCAAAATAAATACAATATATAAAACATATAAAACATAGCGCCACTCGCTTCTGCCTTCAGTATGGCCAACAGATCCTGTGCCGCCTTACGCATTTTAGTCTAAGGAAACAGGATAAATAATATATATATATATTTAGTTTTACATTCATTTACATTAATTCATTGCTTTAAAATGTTTTTTTTAGTGTCCTTTCATTTAAAATCGGCATTCTATTCAGAGACTCACCCAGCTAATGTTTGCTAGCTAAATAGCTAACTAAACAGCACACTGACAGGGTAATCATAAAACGGCCTCTAGGTAAACTTGTATTCTACATGTTAACACTGTGGACCTTCATTTTCTTATGTCATCCTGTCAGTCACTAACAGAGGATGGACATAGTACTGTAAAATGATTCTATACATGGGCACAGCATAGCTGTTAAGGATCTGAAATCCATTTTACAAAGACTGAAACAGCGCCCCTCTTAATTAATGTGTGGTGAAACACAGTATTGCACGTTACACTCACTGTATACTACACCCACAGTCCGCTGTGTCAGGGACATGTCAAGGAAAGCCCGCCGGCCCTTCCCTTCTGACCAATCAAATAATCGGAAGGGAAGGCCTGACGTGCCGTGTGTGACGCTGCGTCTCATACACAACTGCCCGCGACAAGAGGCAGATATGAAATCTGCCTTCTACACAATATAATATTTGCAAGTATAGAGTAGTGGCTGATGTTTTTAGTCAGAAACAGGTAGACTGGAGTGCAGGGTGCGAACTGGAGGGAAGCAGGGGGAGCTATAGCTCCCCTAGTGGTGACATGAGCTCCCCTGGGAACATGGTTTGTGAAATTTGGAGGGAGCTCTCTAAAATACTGATATGATGACCAAATAAATTCCATTTTGGGCATGTTTTTTTTTTTTCAAAGGTGTAAAATAAGTGAAATACAATTATATTTAGAGTTTATGATTCATGAAAAAAGTGTCGCCTGCTTGCACGCTGCCCGCAGCTCCACCCACTACCCACTCACTCACAAGCTCGTTTAGTTAGCACTGCATGTTTACCAGGCATTGTTGCTGCTGCTGACATGTCGAAAAGAAAAAAACTCATCACTACTTTTTGTGGACCTTAATGGACCTCCACTGGAGAGATTCGATCCAACGCTTTTTATCACATCTTGGCTTAAATCGGGTCATCGTCTGTCCACATCATTGGCTAGTGGACCCATACTTGCCAACCCTCCCGATTTTCGCGGGAGACTCGCGATTTCATTGCCCTCACCCGGTTTCCTCCCGGGGTCATATTTCTCCCGCATTTCTCCCGATTTCTGACAAAATCAGATTTACTCAGGACTGTTTCCACTCGGACTGTAATACAGCTACACCATTGTTTGGTTTCCATGGTAGTGCGTCTCTTTAGCAGCGCGCGCAACTCAAAGTCTGAGAGGGTGAGGAAGATAGTCACAGAAAACTGAACAAGAATCGACAACACGACCCTCTGCTCACTCCTTTCCTGTAGCCCACACATATGCTCCATCAAGGACGGTGCTACAGGCCACTACAATAAGCATGTTAATGTTAATCTAATACAGCTCCGGCGATGATCCACTAGGCCCCCCCCCCGCGGTGGTTTTGAAATGCTCCTGATTTCTGAGGTCTCAAGGTTGGCAAGTATGAGACCTAGAGCAAAAGCAGCTGAGCCCAGGCCGCTGTGGTCGCTTTTGTGTTAGGTAAGGCCCGCTTTTACTTTAATTTTGCTGTGTTGTAGGCCTATGGATTGCTAAGATAGGCCTACTTATGAGAGAAGGGTTATGTGCATCGTTGTGTTGTGTGTGTGGCGTCGCGTCTCTCCAGGCAGTGAGAGGGTTGTGTTGTGCTATAGCTGTATTATTAATATTAATATTGTTCATGGTTGGTGCCGCTGGCTGCTCTTATCGCGTGTGTTCGGCTGTGTAGGCTACAGCCATAATAGGCTATAGACCATGTGAAACAATGTAGCCTGTTTTTGAGTCATTTTAAGTTGATTTAATTAAACAGTCAAACGTTACATTGGTGTTCCGTGGATTATTTATTATCAAGTTGATT